CCACCCAGCCACCCCTGTTCTGATTATCTTTAAAAAGAGAATTAACATCTGCTACTTCATAACCTAAATGATACATTGACTGTATGACTGGAATGTGATGTAACTCACCATATATCTAAAGCAAGGGATAATGAGCATATAATAGGGTGTAAATGGGAGGGTTTAGTGGGACGGGTATCTATATGGGCAGATTCCTTTTAAAGTTTCTTTCCGTATATATTAACACTTTGGAATGTGTGCAAGTTATACCGGTGACCTTTCTACATAGAACTCAAATGAGGGAAGGCCTCCCATTGTTAGATGAAACACTTTTCATTTCAAGCATGTAAGCAATACTGCACTTGGTGGATTAAAGATCGATTGATCTCAGCAAGCAAAGAACATTGTTAAACTGGTCAGTCCTCTTTTCTAGCTTTCTCTTTTTTCTGGGAATGGAAAATAGAGAAAGCTTCGCTTTCGATCATCTCTGTCGTGTATGGAGGACTACAGTTGCCAACATCCAAGAACAGTTTGTGTTTGGTTTCTTTGTGTACTTCCATTATAGCTGCTGCTCTTCGCCCAATAGTCAGGTTTGCAAGTTGTGATTACAGCATTAGTAGAAATAAAGTAATGATATATTGTACCTAATGAAGCATCTTTTCTATCTGTTGTTTCTTCATTGCTTTTATTTTTTCCCATAGGTTTACATATTTATGTTAATTTTTATGCATGCTGTAGTTATGTGTCTATATATTATTTAAGGGAACTTTTATATTAGCTCTAATAAATAAACTGGTAAGTTTAAATTATAGTATTTGCTCTGCTTAATTTATTTGTATTTACTCTTTTTTATTACTGCAGGAGGAAACAGCCCCAGTGTTTTATTTTTATAATAAAATACTCTGAGATAGAGTTATTATGGGTCCTAATTCTGGTATGCAAACATCATTAAAGTTTACACAGCAATGGCCTTTCATAATATTTGGAGAATTTTTGGCTGATGCAGTTTTTGTGCTAATGTTTCTGCTTTAAAATAAGAGAAACTTTAAGGAAAGATTAAATCCTTCCTAGGATCCTGGAAAATGCTGATGTTATTTTTAAGTGCAGATTTAGAAGCCCTTAACTAAATTTCTTTTGAAGATATACATGTGGAGTCACATTGTTTCAATTTGAAATTTTAAGATAGGATTTATTTTTCTGCGTCAGGTGGCCCATAAATTTAATGTGAAAAATATAAGCAGAAGACTGAGAACTGAACCAGTAATGACTAATTCCTGTCAATAGCCATTGGAGTAGGGCTTGAGAAGAGGAAGAGAGGGTGTCTGTAAATGACAGAGGCAAAGATGTGGATTAGGGGGTGGTCCAGTGAGGAGATAGGAGGAAGAAATGAAGCTTATTGTTAAAATTTTCTCTATAAAAATTCTTATTTTGAATGAGCATTTTGCTGTTGTTTTGACTCCCGATTAAACATGAATAAAAGCACTTAGAAAGTTTGATATGCTTTTGATAGCAGAGGAAGTGTGTAAATATTTGTCAGGAAATTTCCTTAAATCATATGAGACTGCAGTGTTACAAACTAGATGGACAGTAGCAGTTTATCATATTTAAATTCTCTGCTTCTGGATATGCAAGACCGCTCTGTGACAGGAGGCTAAAATCTTACTGAAACACAACAAAGTACAAATTCAAGTACATATTTGTGGTCTAGAAGAATTGATGAGCGTTTTAGCAATTGCCTTTCTTCACTCTAGAAAGGCAGAAAATGTAGGACTTGTAGAGTCAGCATTCATGAAATGTAAATACGAAATGCATCACATATATCATGTAATAATACATATATCACAAAGTGGAAGAGAGGTGGGAGCCTGTGGAGGTTTCACTATAATTTGAAAGAGACAGATATCAAGGCAAATGGAACATAACAATACCTGATTCATTTAAGCCTTATATATTTTACTCTATGTAGATTTTACCTCCCCCCCAAAAAAAAGTTAATGCTTATATAACAAAAATAATAATTCTGGAAGCCAGGTGCTGAGTTCATCATTGTTCACTATGCATTTCCCTCATCTTTTCTATATGTTTAACAATCTTCTTCATAAAATGTTTGGGGGGAAAAGTAAAGCTACCTGAGACAATAGTAATAATACCTATTCATGTAATGATAGTTGAAAATGAAATTGTTAAAAAAAGCATTTTGATAGTCATGGATTATATAAACAGTGTGCACCTCTGTGAAATCCCCAATGTTCTGACTTGTAGGAACGCTGGTGTAGATAAACTGTGTGTTTGATAAAAAATATTCAGTTTGGCAGCCTCTGGGTGGCTGAATGACCAACTCTTGATTTTGGCTTAGGTCATGATCTCAAGAGTTTGTGGGTTTGAACCCTGCATAGGACTCCCCACTGACAGTATGAAGCCTGCTTGAGAGTGTGCACGCTCTCTCTCTCTCTCTCTCTCTCTCTCTCTCTCTCTGTGTCTCTCAAAATAAACTTAAAAAAATCTAGTTTTGATACACTTTTGATGCAAAATAAATTATAGTATACAAATACTTGTCAGAAACTTTCCTTAAGTCACATGATCTATTACAAAGCAGATGTGCTGTAGACAGCTTTAATATTAAAGTTTCCTGCTTCTGGGCATACAGAACTTCTGTGTGAGAATTGGCTCAAATCTTGTTAAATCATTTGAAACTATGGATTGATGTATCTCTTTGGGACCTAACTAAAGCAGGGATGAGAACAACGCTGAAAATAGCCTTTACATGGAGATCATTGCCTCGACCCTAAAGATATCACTGACACTGGATTAGTTAGCATCTCTTTAAGGTGATACATTATATGTTTTGGGAACAGACACTTCCTCTTGTTACCTAAATTGTGATCCATCAGTAATCATACACGTGCAGTAACAATGTCTCTGACTTCTCTAACATTCCTGTTTCCACTTGTGGGGGACACTCTTCTTTCTGGCCAGCAAGGAGAGCTGCTTTCTCCCCCTTTAAAGGTGAAGATAAGGCAAATCAACTTTACAGTCTCTGAGGCAGGGGAATCACCACTTATCTACCCATTTCTCCACTTATAATCCACCAAGGCTAAAGTTGTTATATGACCACAAATCAGGCTCTGTCTCTTTATCGCATACCACTTATTTAATCTTCCTCAGACTAAATAGTCAAGGCCATTAGTAAAATGTTATTAAATCTGAATACATAAAACTCCTGACTTTAAGCTTTGCTGACCAACATAACATATTGAATTTTACTCACCACAAATTTCCAATAGCTGGTGAATTAATGATGTGTTTTGTTTTTCCTTTAAATAATGGATGAAGCACAGTTTTGCCATATACTGATATCATAATACTTGTCTTCCTGAACAATTTATATGGCCACTGTATCAATATATTTTATTTATTCACGTAGTTTTCTACCGCTACCTTTACATAAATGATTGATGTGTTGACTCTTAAGCTCATTTATCCATAAAAATGAAATTAACTACTAGTTGGAAACGTTCGTGAGTTTTATAGGCATTGGAATGTCAGAACTGATCTTTTACGACAATGAAATGGTCACTGACCAGATCTTCATTGTAGACTCATTACTTTTTAACATATTTACCAAGAGCAAGACCTTGATAGTGACTGGACTCTATGAATCTATAGCTCTGTGCCACTGTATACTCTAAATATCCATTACATAACATAGACCATGTTTTCCCAACCTTAATGCCAGGGAAATTTACTGCCTTTTCTGTAAGATTACATAACCCAAAACATCTAGAACTGGAAAGTGTTATAAGTCAAGCATTTGCTTCCTTATATAACTGTTCTTTAACTATCCAAGACAGGCAACATCACGTTATGTTATACGATATTTTTGGAAAAAAATATTCTATTTAAATGATGTCATATATGTACCCAGCCCTCCATTATGTCCATTTAGTAGTCTAACTTTCTTTAGTGTTGCTTAAGCCTTTTTGAATCTACATTTCATCTCTATAGAAATGAATCCCTCTTGGTAACATCCTTCATATAAAAAGCTTCACGTATGTGTAAATCTAAATTACATTTGTTTTTATATGCATTCCCACTACATATAAAACAACTAGAATTTCTCTATTTATATTGTATCTACAATATACAGTTTAAAGTCTTTTCATCTTTTTTTGGAGAAGCATTCTTCAAGTTTTCCTGCTAAGTAGTAATAAGGAAGCCTAGAAACTCAATAAAAACTACTACTTTTAATTGAAGCATTGTCAACACCGAGTGTTACATCAGTTTCAGATGTACACGATAGTATGTGACAGGCCTATAGATTATGCTACGCTCAAAGTGTAGCTACCATCTGTCACCATACAACAAACATTATTGCAATGCCATTCACTGCATTCCCTATGGTAAGGCATTTCATCATCATGACTTGTTTACTCCACAATGGGAAGCCTCTACCTCCCACTCCCCTTCGCCTATTTTGTCCATCATTCCACCTTTCTCCCCTCTGGCAACCACCAGTGTGTTCTCTGTATTTGTAAGTTGATTTTTACTTTTTTTCATTGATTTGTTTCTTTTTTAGATTCCACTTATAAGTGAAATCAAATGGTATTTGTCTTTCTCTATCTGACTTATTTCACTTAGCATAATACCTTCTAGGCCCATCCACATTATTGTAAATGGCAAGATCTAATTCTTTTAATAGCTGAATAATATTTCATTTTATTTATATACCACATATTCTTTATTTACCTATTGATGGGCATTTTGGACTGCTTTCATATCTTGGCTATTGCAAATAATGCTAGAATAAACATACAGAAAAAATACTTCCTGAAATTTCTTTGGAATGCAAGCAACTTGTCTTTAAAATATATCATGTAATCTTTGCCCACTACTCCATAGTGAATCTATGCTTACTTTAAAATGCAGTATTTTAACTTACTCATTAGAACACTTCCATACATCAGATGTTTTGGTAGAAAGAATTCTCTGTGAGTGGACTTTGAGCTTATTCCGCAGCTTACCATATCCTTGCCATGCTGCTGTGTCCTCCAAAGTGGTGCATGTCCAAATTTGGGGACCATAGCCTTAGTGTATCACAGGAATAAAATGTTTATTATTTTTGCTAATTCCCAGAAATTGTTTCCTGCCACTAGTAGACATGTAGGTATCAAGCTGAAGCATTTACTTCTGAGGATCTGAGCATTGTGACACGGTATTGTGATGTGTTGTTGCTAAGTACGCTGCTGGGGTTGGTAACTGAATCCCAGAAATGTGTCTACTGTGAAAGACAGGTGATTGCCAAGTTCAGGCTATCCCTTGGCAAATCACCTTACCATATTTATCACTGCCATTTGTTTTGGAGGATTTCACTAGGTGTAAGATCTGTCACTCATGTTTGGGGTCCAGATATTTGATGGTTATAATCACATTAAATTGATTCCCTTCTTTAGTGCATATTCACATTAACTAATGATACAGGCTGGCAAGTAAACCATAGTGCTAAGTTATAAATTAGCAAAGAAAAGAAAAATGGCCTTGCTGCCTCCATGGTTTAGAGCAGTCTGATCATGTGTTTATGTCCCTATTGGCAGGCATTTCAAGGAAGCTATCTGAACATCTACATATTGCAGGGAATGTGAGATGAGAATAAGGAAAATCTGTTTTACACTTAGAGTGTTTAATAGTCTGAGCCTAATATTTCCTTACACATTCGTTTCTTCAATAGGAATTTGTGTGTCTTAATGATCAGAATTGGCAAGAACCAGGAGGGCACCTCCGGCATTGGCTCTTTGATGGCTGCACACCTTTTCTAGATGCAGACATCGGGATACAGAGTATCTCTCTGTAGAGCAGGCTCAGTTCTTATCATTCAACTCTGAAAAGCATTTCTTACTTTTATTCCCCTTATTCACTGCAGTACTGTCATGCAGTACAGACTAGTTTTTGGTAAAGAAAGAATAAAGGGAAATGTTCAGTTGTTCAGAAACTGTGGACTTAATAACACACAGCACTGTTAAAGTAATGCATCACCATGTGGGCAGATAGGCAGAATGGGGATGCAGAAATGATTTTTATAAAGTAGAGAAATCGAGGATGAGAAGGATGAAGGGCATAGATGGTAGAGTCATATATCCTGAGTAATACTATGAAAGTTTACATTTGATCTCTGAAATCTAATTCAATATGCATATCTGTAAATCTCTGCTCTTATTAAAGGAGCAAACTAGAGCTAAGAGAAACACTTTGTCTTCCTCAACAGGCATATCAAAGGAAAGAGATAAGCAATAAGTAGTTTTGTAACATGAAGACGAACAACAAAACAAATATATCTTTCCTTAGTAGTAAATATTTGCAAATTATTTGCAAACTCTAAACATCTAGAGATTGTAAGAGCATCTAAAATATGGAAGAAAGTCCTACAACTAAATAGCAAAAACAATCCAAACAGAAAAATTAAGAAATGAACCGAGAATTGGAAGAGACATTTTTTCCCCCAAGAAGATATAGACATGGTCAATAGATTCATGAAAAAGTGCTCAGCATCAGTAATCATGAGGGATATGTGAATCAAAACTACAGTGAGGTATCACTTCCCACCTGTTAGAATGCCTACTATATAAAAGACAAGAGTTAACACGTATTGGTAAGGATGTGGAGAAAAGGGAATCTTGTACACTGTTGGTTGGAATGTATATTGGTGCAGCCCTTATGGAAAACAACATGGAAGCTTTTCAAAAATTAAAAATAAAATGACTGTGATATGGTATATTGGTATATATCCAAAGGAAATCCAATAAGGATCTCACAGAGATATCTGTATATGCCCATGTTCACTGATACATTATTCACAATAGCCAAGATTTAATTTCCTCAGTGTCCATCTACAGATATATGGATAAACAGGATACAATATATATGTGTATATATATTTATATACACACATACATACTGTGTATGTGTATGTATTCACACACAGAATGAAATATTATTCAGCCATGAGAAATAAGAAAACCCTGCCATTTTCGACAACATGGATGAACCTTGAGGGCATTATGTTAAGTGAGAAAAGTCAGAGACAAATACTGTCTGATTTCACTACATGTGGAATCTGAAAAAGCCACACTCATAGATTAAAATGGTGGTTTCCAGGGGCTTGGGACACGGGAAGATGATAGTTAAGGACACACATTTCTAGTTAAAAGTTGACTAAATTGTAGTTAATGACACATGAACATTTCTGGGATTGTAGATTTTAAATGTTCTCACCACAAAAAAAAGAAAGAAAGAAATGGCACTGATGTGAGGTGATGGAGGTGTTAACTAACACCTAATTGTTTCACAACTTATGAGTAAATCAAATCATCACTTTGTGTATCTTAATCTTGCACAATGCTATATGTCAGTTATATCCCAATAAAGTTGTGAGAAATGAGAAAATATATCTCCCCTGTAAAAGAACATACTCAGTATTACTGTTAGAGTATATTGTATGCCATTCATTCATACTCAATTCAAAAATATTGACTGATTAAAGATACAGTCTAGTGGAAGAGACATAAAACTGGGCAATCAGATGCAGTTTGACAAGTGCTACCTTTGGGGAAAGCCAAGGTGCCTTGAATCAAATGGAGAGGGTGCCTTGTGTAGCCTTGGGGCATCATTGAATCATTCTCGAGAGTCCCAGAAAGCCATTGTGATATGGTAGGTATTCATTAACTAGAAGGTTGAGTTATGAAAAAAATATCTTTCTGGTTTTAGAGATCCATTTATTTATCAAATATACATTGAGATCTTCTTATGCCCTTTATTAATACTATGGACACAGTGAACCGAATTAACAAGATTCGGCTTGCATGGAGTTCTTATGCTAATAGGTAGATTTTATTATTTTTGGATTAAGTTTTGTAGATTCATACCTGGAAGAATTATTGTTTTGTTTAGTTCTCCCTCTTTCGCTCCCTGTTCACCCTTTGTTTTTTTGCTTTTTTCAATAAGGAAGCTTCCAAAATAGTATTTATTGCTTTTCTTCTTTGGAAAGTTTGGTATCTTCTCAGATTTCTTTTGAAAGGGCTTAATGAAATGAAACGTGTCTAGGTTCATATTGGTAAGTCTGTCACTTGTGACTTTTAACATCAACTCTTTACACCAATGTATTTTATGATGGGGAAGCTTATGATTGGTATGAGACAGCTGGTGAATCCCCCCCAATTCTCAGAATGTTTTTTATACTGATACATATCACCAGAAGAGGTTTGTTATGTGGCCAAAGCCGTGATGCTGTTTCAGGAGCAATCTTTTTTTGGCATGTGATTTGTCGCTCCCATCTCCTCCTCTCCAACTCAGACAGAAGGTGGATAGAATTTTATCCTCTTCTTTTGGAGAATAAAAATGTAAGGCCTGCATATAAAATAAAGTCATAATGTAGATTTAAACTACCCATAATCTAATAATTCAAGCAAAATGAGCCTTTAGAGCAAACCTCTTTTGAAAGTGCATGGGGGATGGTCTATTTTTAACGAGCAGTACTGTGGGGACATTCCAAAAACTACTGCAGATACTGGCTACTGTATTCACAAAGACTACGGAAAAAGAAGATTCTCTTCAGCAGATGAATAGAAACATTGACTGGCTTTGAGGCAAGTAATTGCCTTACTCATGCACACAAAAATTTCAGCCAGAGAAGTCATCCCTTTAAGCAGAGCACAAATAATGCATAATGCGTACGTACTGATGCAGATAAAGTGTAACTCACCTTGGATTTATTTAATTATTCCTGGTCCACAAGGTTTCTGAAAAATAGTCAGGATACTTCCTTACTGCAGATTTAAATAAGAAGCCCAAATCTCTGTTAAATTCTTTTCTTCCTTGAATAGTGTGTCTATATAATATATAGATGTTAGAATTGGTTATAACCAGCACCTAATGCTAAAGAAGTTAAAACATACATACTCTTAACATTTCTCATTAAAAGGAGCATAAGAATATTAATTACCACCGTGGAAATATAATGTTATTTCTTTCTTTCTTAAATACGTGTATGATACTTATTAACATTTTAATGGCAAAAGCAATAAAAATAATTAAAAGCACATTTAGTTCCTGTTCTGTCCCATTTCATTAATTTCTGCTCTTTTTTTCCTTTAAAGTAAAAGTTGTAATATTGGTGTCTTAGCTATCGCTGCCTCTTTATGATATTAAATTTCAGTATGTGAAGAGGGAATTAGAGTTTTCTCCAACAAACAGGCTGTCTTTAACATGCATGTTATCTTTAAATGTTAAAAAAAGTGATTATACTTCTATTCCTACTATTTAAAATGCAAAGTTTGACATTTTTACAGTGAAGTGAGCTCTTAATTTTCAAAATTATATTTTATTTTTAAGCATTAATTTTTAATAGATGGTCAACAAGTGAATATGTCAAAATATTGAGTTTTAAGCTGCATCAAATGTGTCTGTTTCAGTTAAATACTGGTTGTGACTCCTGAAAATCTCTAAGGTTTTTCTACTGAAAGAGGTGATTTCTTCCTAGCCACCAACTTTTCCTCTGGCATGTCTTACAAAGAACTAACACTTGCTTCTGAAAAGAGGGGTTTCCAGATCAGATCCATTGCTGACTTACAGGGAAGATTTTTGGCTTGGGATACGGTGGTGCTCATAGTGTAGAAGGGCAGTTAGTTAACGTAAGGGGATCTCGTGAGGTGCCAAATTCCTACCCAGATGCTCAGTAGCATCTAAGGGTCAGCTGTATTTGAAGAGCACATTAATAGTGCTGGCTTTGAACTTCTCTGGAAGCTAACTGGACTGGCTCTTTCCAAGCACTTGTATTTTGCCATTGGCTTTACTCTTTTCTTAACCTCTATTTGTAATCTTATTTGACTACAGGACAACTGCAACCTTTAATCACTAGAAAAGGCAGAAAATTAAACATACCTTGTTCAACTCTTGAAGAGATAACAAGGAGTGAGGTTTTCCTCAGCTTGGGGTGATCTTCCTCTGTTTTTCACATTTAAGCTCTTCCTGATGAACGTCGTCTTTAACTAGGGAAGAGTCCACATGGATTTGGTCCTTAGCATACCTAACATTAGCCTCACTAGGGACCTCTCTCTTCTCTGGAACCCTATCGCATGGAGCATCTTGCACTACGATACTGAATTTTTT